TGATGTCCCTTGGTGTCGGGCCCGTAGGGCTCTATGCGCTCTATCAATCACCCACCTCTCTTTTGGCATGTCAGGCAGTAGGTGCTGGAAGTAATTCTCCATTTTCTGTATCGGGGACCCTTGTTAGATGTCTCCGGCAGACCCCTTATGTGCAGGTTATTTCGTCTTGAGCGATTGGAGAGGTCCTCCACTAGCATCTCTCGGCTATTAAGCTATTGTTCCATTGAGGTGGAATGCTGAAACACAGAGTTGTGTGCCTGCACCATTGATTCAACCTGTTGTTTTAGGTCTAATGTGCGCACCCCCATGCTTTAACCTCCTGTGTGTTGCTGGCAATTTTACCTGCCAGGCATGAGCGGACCTCCAACAGTTTTGCCAAGATTTGTGTATTGTTGCCTGGTTGTGAGTCTGCTGGCTCACTGTCTGCATTGGAGGCTAGAGACTGGGAGCCACGTGAGCCTGCCCGGCGGCCATTTTGTGCAATCTGTGAGGATCGCGAGGCCGCAAACATGTCGTCCACTGTGACAGATGAATCTTGTCTCCCTCTCCTCGCTTCTTTCAGCGTGGTATAGCTCCAGAGCCTAGGTAGGACATCTAGTTGTAGATTGTGAGTTGCGATGCAGGATTGCGAGTTGATGCGTGGGAGCTCTCAAGTTATGCTACCATTCAATTTAGCTGCCAGACCACGCCCCCTCCCATCTTATTGATTTTTTTTTGATTGGGTAACTAAAATAATAGATCAGCATGGTGCAGTTGACATTGCTTACCTAGATATCAGTAAGGCTTTTGACGCTGTTGCTCATAGAAGGCTTATCAATAAACTGCAATCTTTAAGTTTGGATTCCAATATTTCCAATATTGTTAAGGCAGTGGCTGAGCGACAGGCAACAGAGGGTTGTAGTCAATTGAGTATATTTGCATGGTCTTGTTACCGGTGGGGTACCTCGGGGATCTGACCCATTCTTTTTACTATTTTTTTTTGTGATATTGCAAAAGGTCTTCATGGTAAGGTATTTATTTTTGCTGATGATACTATGATATGTAAAGGGTTGATATTCCAGGAGGGATAAGTCAAATGTCAAATAATTTAGGTAAACTAGAAAAAGGGTCAGAGTTGTGGCAGCTGACATTTAATGTGGATAAGTGCAAAATAATGCATCTTGAATGTAAAAACCCAATTGCAGAGTACAGAATATTTAATAGTCTTAACCTCAACATCTGAGGAAAGGGATTTAGGGGTGATTATTTCTGATGACTTAAAGGTAGGCAAACATTGTAATAGAGTAGCAGGAAATGCTAGCAGAATGCTTGGTTGTATAGGAAGAGGTATTAGCAGTAGAAAGAGGGAAGTGCTCATGCCATTGTACAGAACACTGGTGAGACCTCACTTGGAGTATTGTACGCAGTACTGGAGACCTATTTCCAGAAGGATATTGATACTTTGGAGAGAGTTCAGAGAAGGGCTATTAAACTGGTTCATGGATTGCAGGATAAAACTTACAAGGAAAGGTTAAATGATTTTAACATGTATAGCTTGGAGGAAAGACGAGACAGGGGGGTTATGATAGAAACATTTAAATACATAAAGAGAATCAACACAGTAAAGGAGGAGACTATCTTTAAAAGAAGAAAAACTACCACAACTAGCGGTCTTATATCAGAGGGACAAAGGTTTAAAAATGTCAGGAAGTATTACTTTACTGAGAGGGTAGTGAATGCAAATTGTTGTATGATCATTTTAAAGTAAATATTGTTTGTAGACTGTTCTTATAATTTTGAATAATTAAAGGGTTAATTAAAGGGTTACTCCATCCACCACAACCTTTTTAATTATTTTAAGTGGTCACAGTGGTAGGAGTATGTATGTGTAGTGTTACAGCTGTAAAACACTGCACATACTGAGTAATCAGCAAGTTTGCAAGAGGCTAGCTGCACCCCTGGCAACCGTGTTTAGGAAGCCCTGAACACTGTTCTAGATTACCTAAAGTCAATTCTGTGCATAAAATGCATTCATTGTCATACACTGTCGATTTCTGTCTACATAAATACATTATTGTATTTTTATAATTATTGAGCTATGGATAGGGTACATAAGTCCTGTGTTGTATTTTAAACAATCAGCAGGTGTAGACCATTTGTCCATGAAGCTTGGAAGGTTTTTAGCTTGTTGGAACTCAACTGTGTATTGCTGAACTAGCTGAACAATGGTGGAACTAGCGCGGTCGCAGCCGCGACCCCTGTCACTGCAGGGAGCCCAGCCACCCTGTTGCCCCCTGCAACCGCGGTACCCACCGGTCATGTTCCAGCAGTGACCCGCGCAGTACAACCGCTGGGGCCGCATTGAAGGGGTCTATTGGATGGACCATGCGGTTAGGGCCACCCGATGGAAATGAATTTCCAGGAAGCCTTGTCAGCGCGGCGGCGCTTTAACAGCATGACCAGGCCCCCTCTAATGACATTACAGCTGGGAGGAAGTGGCGGCCCGGTCACTCCTTCCAGCTTACATCGGGAGCCGCGTGGGAGGAGGAGGGAGTCAGAGTGGGAAAGCAGGAAAAGTCACCCTCCTGCATTTAAAAGGTAGGAAACAGGAGGGTGACTAAAACATTTTGTATGTGTCTGTATATGTATGTGATTTTCTGTATGTATGTCTCGTGTGTGATTGTATTTGTGTCTGTGAGTATGTGTATGTATGTGTGTGTATGTATGTGTCTATGTATGTGTGTGTTTGTATATATGTGTGTCTGCATGTGTTTGGGGGGAACTTATGGGAGGGGGAGTAGATGTATGGAGGGTGGAAGGGTAGACGTATCTGGGGGGAGGGCCAGGGCAATTTTTGCACAGGGCCCCTTGGTTTCTAGTTACGCCTCTGTAGCTGAATCCATATATAGAAGGGTTGTCCACATATTTTCAGCCATATCGGGAATCTGTATCAGATGGGTACAATGTTTCTTTAGTATGTATACACAAAACCAAAACACCCAGACCACTTCATCTTAAAGGACCACTATAGTTTTCCTGGCACTATAGTGCCCTGAGGGTGCCCCACCCTCAGGGACCCCCTCCCGCCCGGCTCTGGAAAGGGGGAACTGGTAAAAACTTACCTTTTTCCAGCGCTGGCAGGGAGCTCTCCTCCTCCGATCCTCCCGTCGGCTGGCTGCGCGCGCATTCAGCCGGTCGTATAGGAAAGCATTATCAATGCTTTCCTATGGACGCTTGCGTGCTCTCACTGTGATTTTCACAGTGAGAAGCACGCAAGCGCCTCTAGCGGCTGTCAATGAGACAGCTACTAGAGGATTTGGGGGAAGGCTTAACCCATTCTCTGAAACTGCTATGTTTATAAAAGAATGGGTTAAGCCTAGCTGGACCAGGCACCCAGACCACTTCATTAAGTGGTCTAGGTGCCTAGAATGGTCCTTTAACCCAGTAGTTGAAAACATTGCTGTTCTGTGGGGACAGCAATATTTATGTTGCAGGTTTAACCTGCCTCTAGTAGCTGTATAGTATAGTATATGTAGTCAATATGAGAGCCACTAAAAGCGCTTTCGTAAAATAGCAGAATAATACTCTTATTTTAGTCAGATGGTCTCAGGTTACTATCTAATTAGCGTACCACCGTGTTGTGCCGCACATGTGCTCTAGCCTCCCAGTGCTTTCCTATGGAAAGCATTACATTGTCTGAGATCTCAGCCAAAGAGCCAAAGCTTGAGCAGGGAGACCGGTGCAACAAGTAAAATCACCTTTTAACATTGAGGTCTTGGAGGTAATCCTCTACCTTTTAGGTGTGCCGCCTTTTTTATATATCCATTTTTGTTTAGTGTTGCTTTGCTCCCTTTTTCTTTCTACGTGTAAACATTTGCCTTTCCAATAGGGGTGCCTATTTTTAGTACTTATAATGTGCTTTTTGCTGAAGCTAAGGTGGGCTGGAAAAGGAAGATAAGTACCAGGACCCGTGGCCAGTGTCCTCTGTAGTCCAGTCAGCCTCCTACACTTGACAGCAGAGCTGCAGGAATAGTTGTAGACTGTGTAAAGGTCAGTGCTGTCCTAGCTCCTCCAATGTGGGGCTGGACAAGAAGAGAAAAGGATCACTTCCCATCTGCCCAATAAAAACCTCTCACACAGGAAGTGCCTTGCAGGGAGATCAAGGACAGCATTAATGGATGCACACTGTGTAACAGCCCCTTGCATTTCTGCCATCTATCATAGGAGTGTGACTGGACTAAGTAAACATATGGGTGGGTACTTTGCAAAAAACTCCACATGCCTTAAACAACTCTTTCCCCTTACGCTAAATTTAACCCCTCCCAAAAACAAACCTTTTCCTTAGTCCCACATTTCACTATTCAAAGCCTAAACCTGAGAAAACCCTTTACCATAATCATAAGCTTAACTCCTCTTATACATACCATGTACCACAATACTAAACTAAACTTAACCCAACTCTTACCCTACATTGAGTAATTCTAAACACATTTTACAACTATAACTCCTCTCCCACTTTTAACCCCTTAAAAAACTATTACGTCCTTTTCTAAGCGGCTCTAAACGCTGCAGGACGTAATAGTACGCCCTCCGGTTTTCCTCACTTACCCGGACGCCGGCGATCGCGGTTGGGGAGACTCACCTTGGATCCCAGGGAGTCCCTCGCGGCAGATCTTGCCTCCAGCAACACAAATATTTGTGTTCAGCGAAGTCTCTCGAGTACAACAGTACCCCCTATGTACAGGTTTTATGGTGTTTTCAAAAGTTACAGCGTCAAATATAAGGCTTGTGTTTCATTTTATTCACATAAAAATTCGCCAGATTGCTTACGTTGCCTTTGAGACCCTATTGTAGCCCAAGAATGAAAATTACCCCTATGATGGCATACCATTTTCAATAGTA